CAGCGCATCAGCCATTTGGTATATAAGCTAAAATTACATTTTCTCAAATCACATTTCTTTTGAACAATATTTCAGTCACGCGTTAATGAGCAGTGTTCATGGGATGTTAAACGACCACTCGGGTGACCTCTGAAGAAGTGGCGCAAATACATCGAACGGGCGGTAGACACAAACTGGAGGCATGCAGCTCAGGATCGAAGGAACTGGCACAGCTGCATTCGACGTATGAGAGTATCCAACAAAATCACTATCAGGGGATACTCACAGTGACAGCCCGAAGAGCCTTGGTATTTTTGATATGTTATTCCTTTCCTAAAGTAGAAATCAGTCTCTTCGCGATACGCTAATTCATTCCAGTGACAAAATAGTACCGCCACATACCAGGGGACGAAAGCTATATGCTTACTTTTGAACAACCCGAGTAAAAGAGAGCCGCTGAAAATCTTCTCATAGATAGTTGGCGACTCTTTTCGAGTGCAATCAAAGAACATGGGAGGGGCTTTAATTTTAAACTAGGTACGCAAAAATGAATTGCAAGCTGTATCCCAGACAGTTCGTACTTAGCCAGGGTGAGAATGGTTCCAGTTCTAGAAATCCAGACATTGGCGATTGGCCTTTCGCCCCCTCCCCCTCCCTTTATCCCAACGGGACAGGTAATTGTGCTAACTATCTTTCACACCCCCGGTCGCCCCCCCCTCCATCTCCCAAAAGCCTCGCTTCCTCCCCCCCTCCTCCCTCACTCCTGAATCCGACTATGAATCCAGTCAACAACGCCGCAGCTGTTTTTGTGCGTTCTTGCAGCTATGTAATGCAGAAAACGCATATTGATGGGGGAGGGGGTTGTCTGTGTGTCCGTGTGTGCGTCTGTCACGCTTTTCCATCTCAAGACCCCAGTCCCCAAGCAAGCGTGGTACCCGCGTACGGGCTCGCCGAAATCTTTTTCGAATAAGTTTAAAACTCGGGGGTCTGAGAAGCTAGAAAGCTCAATTCTTAAGGGGACGTTCCTTGTCCACGTAAGTCTTAATGAGCTTCAAACGAGTCCCGGTGGACGCGTGGTACCCATATACGAGCCTGCCAAAGTTTTTTTGGATAAGTTGTTAAACTGAGTACCTGGAAGGCAAAAGTCTGTAATTTTAAGAGGATATTCCCCGTCCACCTTAGCCCTATTTAGCTCAAACCCAGCCATAGGGTATGCTTGGTACCCACACACGGGCTAACCAAATGTTTCCCAGGTTGGTTGCCAATTCGAGAACCTAAAAAGCTAGAAGACTGTAATTTTAAGATGATGTCCCCGCCCACACAAGTCTCAACGAGCTCAAACTCAGACATCAGGTATGAGTGGCACCAAGTACGGGCCCGTGAAAATTTTTCTTCCAGTAAGTTGCTAACTCAGGAGCGAGGAAAGCTAGAAAGCTGGAAATTTAAGGGGGTGTTTCCTGACAGTTCTGGCGACCAGTCTTAATTTGTTTAGCTAGAAGCATTTGAGGAAAAAACCGGTGCCGGTAGCGACAAAAACTGCGGTGAACTATGCAAAAAACGCATCTTCGCACGGGCAACCCGTGAGTTGATCAGTTATTTTATACCTTGAATAAGCAACCGTCCAACCCTCGCTACTCGATATCTTGATCACTTTT